GCTTAGATTAGAAGTTGATTTCAAATGGGAGAAGGTGCACCAAAATACCTTCGAAAATATCAATGAATTTTTGACAAGGCCTCCAGTATTGATGTCACTTAAGGAAGGCAAGCCATTAAAACTACATATCTCAGCAGGGGAAAAGTCTATTGACAGCTTTTTAGCATAAGATAATGATTAAGGCCATAAGCAAGTAATTTACTATTTAAATAGGACATTAAACGTGGAATGTAATTATTCTTCCATAGAAAAGTTATGCTTACCTTTGTATTTCTCTGCGATAAAATTAAGATATTATNTTTTAGCATAAGATAATGATTAAGGCCATAAGCAAGTAATTTACTATTTAAATAGGAAATTAAACGTGGAATGTAATTATTCTTCCATAGAAAAGTTATGCTTACCTTTGTATTTCTCTGCGATAAAATTAAGATATTATTTGCTCCACATTATTGTATGTATTATAGTTCAGACTGATGTAGTCAAGTATATGCTCACACGACCCTTGTTGAGGGAAAGAATGGAAAAATGAATTCTTGACTTAACAGAATATTGCATTCAATATATGACACAAAAGGCAGTTAAAGGCCAAGCCTCGGCTAACTTTCTAGCTGACCACCCAAGTATCCTCATCAAAGGAGATTTGTGTGAAATTGGAGCATAGAATTAGCACCCGAAAAATTAATGTTCAATGAGTCTACGACTGAAGGAGGAGTTGGAGTTGAGATTGTGCTAGTATTACCAGAATGTAGGATGCTCTAGTTTGCTTACCAATTGGATGAGACATGGGTTCTATTGAACAACCAGGCTGAAAATGTGGCTTTAATTGTAGTCCTAGACATAGCCTTGGACATGAAGATTAAAAATCTGTTGGTTGTAGGAGATTCACAGTTGGTGATTAAGAAAGTGTAAGGTTAGTATAAATATAATCACACTGCACTAGAAAAATACATTACAAGAGTGCAGTCCTTCATACAGGGTTCCGAGGATGTTTAGTTTGAAAATGTTATGAGACTTCATCATGGAAAGGCCAATAAGATGGCCTAAGCAGCCTCTAGGTTAAAAATTCCATAAGGATTGAATGAAAGTATCATAAAAATCCAGAAAAAGCATTTGCCAACAATAATGGCATGGCTAGTTGATATCCTAGTTATCAAGATTGAAGAACAGATTGAAGGTTTTCTATTATCAAGTATATGCAAGATCCATCTCAGAAAACAAAAACGATTACTAGAAATCGAGCTACAAATTATGTCTTTTTAGAAGAACAATTTTTTGGAAGAACACTAAAAGGACTAATGTTATTGTGTATTAGCAAACTAAATGCTATGAAAATTATGGCAGAGATCCATGAAGGAATTTGTGGTTCTCATCAATCAGGTGAAAAGATGAGGTGACTAATCCATAGGTATGGACAATATTGGCCAACTATGAGAAATGATTGCATCACTTATGCAAAGGGATGTCGGGCCAATAAGAAACATGAACCAATTTAGAGGGTCCTTGCTATTAAATTACATTTGATTGTCAAGCCATGACCATTCAGGGGTTGGACAATAGATTTGATTGGTTATATTCACCCTAGCTCATCAAAACAACATTTCTATATAGTAGTAGCCACTGATTAATTTTCAAAGTGGGTTGAGGCAGTATCCATGAAATCAATAGATCAGTAGAAAGTAATTAGTTTTATTAAGAAATACATTGTAGGTTTGGGTTGCCTCAAACAATTACTGTCGATCAAGGAACTATGTTCATTGGGGAAGAAATAACATAGTCTGTTTTTGAACATGGGATACAGATGTTGAACTCATCACCCTATTATGCTTAGGCCAATGGGAAAGCAGAATCGATTAACAAAACATTGACNAGGAACTATGTTCATTGGGGAAGAAATAACATAGTCTGTTTTTGAACATGGGATACATATGTTGAACTCATCACCCTATTATGCTCAGGCCAATGGGAAAGCAGAATCGATTAACAAAACATTGACATTAATCTTAGAAAAAATTATGCAAGATAACCTAAGGCAGTGACATGAATTATTGTCAAATGCTTTGTGGGGATATAGAACTTCAAAGAAGTCTAGCATAGGAGCGACGCCATTTGAATTGGTGTAAGGGTATGATGTTGTGATACCTATGGAGATAACAGTAAAATCAAGACAGATGTTAGAGCATCAAGGTATGTTGGTAGAAACATATTCTCAAGCTGTGTTCTTTGAATTGGAGGACATTGAAGAGAATCGACTGGAAGCATTGGACCACTTCTAAATACAAAACAAGAAAATAGAAAGGACTTATAATAAAAAAAGAAAAGTCTAAAAGTTTTTCAGAAGGAGATTTGGTGTGGAAAGTCATCTTGCCTTTGGAAAGTAAAGATAGAGAATATGACAAGTGATCTCTTACTTAGGAGGGACCTTTTAAGGTAGGAAAAATTCTAAGAGTTGGAGTCTACCACTTACAGTCTTTACAGGGACAATGGCATAGGAAATCCATTAATAAAAGATATTTAAAAAGATATTATCCAAGCATGTGGGATTCTTATAACATTAATTATTAGAAAAAAACAGAATTGCCAAAGAAATAAAAGGGAATTGAAAAGAATATATTCGTGAAAAGGTACTTACAAAATACAAAGTAAAAGGCCACAAGGTTTGGCCATTCCATAGAAAATAGTCAAAATTACAAGAAGCCAACAAACAAATAAAGCAATTTGCCAAGAAAAGTGTCGTCGATGTTTTTTTTGAGCTTTGCTTCTCCTTAAAATAGGCCAAAGGGAGTCTCCACATTAGAAGAAGGTTAAGTAGTGGCAAGAACTCTAGTGGCAGTAGTTTCTGGGAGAGTTGGAGAAGAGGTTGAGTCAGTTTCAGTTGCTGTCGCCTCACCATTATCTGTGGACATGGCATAGGAGAAGAGCCCCCTAGTTCTTTTGATTGATGCTTTTTTAGAGATGGNCTCTAGTGGCAGTAGTTTCTGGGAGAGTTGGAGAAGAGGTTGAGTCAGTTTCAGTTGTTGTCCCCTCACCATTATCTGTGGACATGGCATAGGAGAAGAGCCCCCTAGTTCTTTTGATTGATGCTTTTTTAGAGATGGATTTTCCCCTTTGGCATGATCAGTTAAAGGATCATTTACCAGAAGATCTTCAACTATAAAAGAAAAACCAAAAGGGAAAAGCACAGAAACTATTGCTTTAAGTTCATCTAGCAAGCGCATATGTAGAAAAGACAGATCATTGGATTTTCAATTGGCAAATCTTAACCTAGATATATAATAATCTAAGTGGTCATTGAATATCAAGGTAGAAGTATGTTGCCACTAATTAATGAAAAGGGGAGATTCCCTAGGCGCTCAAAGCGAAAAGTTTTTAAACCTTATTGTAGGCTAATGAGATTAGTTGGACCGCGTAAGGTTCCGTCAATATAACCCTGTTGTTAGCATGTTCATCAATAAGAGGATGTATGAAAGTTACAAGAATACTTTGGTTAAAGTCATTGTTTGGCAATCTAGTTGGGGGATTAACATTCAAAGCTACCACTATACTTTGAATTATGAACAACAACACCTACATGAAGATAACGGGGAAGAAGAATGCTTCCCCAGAAGTTATGAAATAAAGTGGCTTGCTCATCCGAAGGATCGATAAAGCCATAAAAAAATGCTTTAATATGAAGAAAGGAATAAAGGTATTTGGAGAAAGGTGAAAAAAGGGAGGATACCTGGCAAACTCCAAATCATGGAATGCTTTGAAATAGAAGTTGAAGTCCTTGGCCAGTGATGAAGGTATTGATAGAAGNGATACCTGGCAAACTCCAAATCATGGAATGCTTTGAAATAGAAGTTGAAGTCCTTGTCCAGTGATGAAGGTACTGATAGAATNAAGGTTCCGTCAATATAACCCTGTTGTTAGCATGTTCATCAATAAGAGGATGTATGAAAGTTACAAGAATACTTTGGTTAAAGTCATTGTTTGGCAATCTAGTTGGGGGATTAACATTCAAAGCTACGACTATACTTTGAATTATGAACAACAACACCTACATGAAGATAACGGGGAAGAAGAATGCTTCCCCAGAAGTTATGAAATAAAGTGGCTTGCTCATCCGAAGGATCGATAAAGCCATAAAAAAATGCTTTAATATGAAGAAAGGAATAAAGGTATTTGGAGAAAGGTGAAAAAAGGGAGGATACCTGGCAAACTCCAAATCATGGAATGCTTTGAAATAGAAGTTGAAGTCCTTGTCCAGTGATGAAGGTATTGATAGAAGGAAGTAATAGGCATAATTGAGAGGACATAACTTTGGAAAGGGACATACTCGATGGCCCAAGTTTCAAGAAAGTAGGCATATAGCCACGCTTGGAATAGCCTGAGAGGACCTCCACAAAGATCGTCGATGCCTCTATCTATCATGTTGAAAAGGCCCTTATAAAGAGCCCTTAAAACAAAGAGAGCTAAGGCCAGAGTGTGACGATCAATAAGAAGAATAACAATGATATGATATTCAGTCGTGACTTGAAGATTAGGGACACAAAGGATAAAGTGACAGAGCCAATGTATTAGGAAAACAATATGTTCTTTATAGGAAGAGGGGCCAAAATTTGGCTTACAGAAAAAGGAGACGTGGTTGGAATAGATAAAATTGGTAGGGATATCTACCAAGATGCGATTTGGTTTCAAGGTTGCAGTTACCTCAATACCAGTCGACGTCGAGAATGGAAGGAGACATCATGTCAGGAGAAAGGAGCATGGCATTACAAGACTTTGACCAGAAACAGTGTTATGCCTATGAGCCAACAATTCATGAAAAAGGACAAGTAGAGAGCTTAATTTGTTCATAGATTCCTTTGTTCTTTCCATTGATTAGAGAAATGCACCTCTATTCATGTCACCCAGTTAGCCTATTATTGGTTTGGGTTAATCCAAATTGTCAAATGAGTAAGTCCTTGATCCTAGTGCCTCCATTGAAGATGGGGGCGATGAAGCGTTAAGGTTTCTCCATGAGCAATAGGATAGCATTCAAAAATGCTGGAAGCATAGTGGATTTGAAGGCTGGACCTAGAGCAAAGTTGGTCCCAAGATCTTTAGAGGGGATAAGGATTCGATCATCAATTGAATCCCAAACGGCATATTTGAGGCTTGCAGAGAACCGAAGAGCAGGAGACATGCTTGGATGGGAACTAATAGGTGTAGAGCAATTTGTTTTCCATTTGGATGCCATCAAAAAATCAAGGAGAATTTTAAAATTGAGAACAAGCCAAGGAAGATTACTAGAAGTAAAACTGAGAAGAATAGTATGGATAAAGATTTTTCCAGGGGCTAAACCCTTTTAATAGGTGCATCGAGGGTTTTTTTGGCAGTTACTGACTATTCTTTTGCCCATTCGAAATAAATAGATTAGCTATTGAAAGACATCTTAAGAAGGCAATGACAAAAAGCAACGGATGTGATGGTTCATTTACTTAGCTTGGTTAAGGAATAAACTTAATTAAATGACGGGGACATTATTTGGACCTAAAATACAAATTGTAAGAACATTTGATACATGTGTTGTTGGCAAGTCTGAAATCATTAAGAGGTTGTCACATGTCAATAGTTGAAGAAAAGGCAAGAAGCAACCATCTTCAGCTCTAGTTTGAAAGAGCAAATAACTGCTTGAGAGCCAAATATCCATTGATAAGAAAGAAATCGTCGAGAGAAGTGGCTATAAAAACAGAAAAGGAGGAAGACGAACGACAACTCAAACCCTCCACAAGAACCACGATCAGGGTATTTAGGAGTAATGTTAGAGTTAGTTTTTAGGAAGTAGTTAGTGCCATAATCAAAGGTTGTTAAATTAGTCACTTTGTAATTAAAACCCACCCGATTGAATTAATAAAGGCATATTTCTGTGTTAGTTCAGTATTTCGTGTGTTTGGTTATTGAATTTCATTCAAGGAAGTTCCGAAACAAAGCAGTAGAACTCATCTACAAGCAATCGCATGAGAGCTGTCTGTTGACTAAGACATTTCTGTCGATCTTAACAAATTTTGGAGCAACAAGTGGTAAATACAATAATAACTGGAGATGTGGAATTTTGTTACAATGGGTTGGTTATCAACGATTTCCAACTATAGAAGGTAATTTTATGAGAAGGTTTCGTTAAGTATATTGGGCCTTTGGAACGTAAAATGAATGCAGATTGCTGCATGCTTTCGGTTTAGATACTTAGCAATACAAGTCCCAAAGAAGTCATTGCGTTTATCTGAATCCATTCATTGTTGATTCATGAGGGAGATTTTAATCATGATTTGGAGGCTGTGATGTTTAACTCCCTCAATGAAACCCTGTTTTTCTGGGTCCCTAGATTTATTTTTTGCTGAGTTCTTAAGGGAATCTCAGCTATTCAGGCGTTATGTTCAAGTTTCTGTTTGACGTTAGTCTTACTAGTTTATTCCAACACCATAGGATCCTCCCATAGAACAATTATGTTACATAACATGTAGAAAGGGTCAGGAAGGGATACTTTTTGTCTAATGCAATTCAGTGATGAGTTTGAAGAGCTTTTCTCTTTGTGGAACCAGTTAATGTCTTTTTCTGATTTTCTTTGAAAGATGAACTATTAACATTCGTATGCTATGAAAACTAAATTGTAAGTTATATATTGGAATTTTAATAGGGTGATTGAGTGCCTTTTTAATGTATAATTCACTTGCTCCTATTATTCCATTTCATTGAAGTAAACTTACTTGTTTGGCAGGACCAATGTTTATATCAATCCACCAGTAGCACCACCTCTAGTTGGGGGTTATGGGTACGGCTTTGGTGTTCCTTTTTATGGCGGATGGGGCTGGTCACCTTTCTCATTTTTTGCACCGGGTCCCAGTGTTGCTATTGGCATTGGAGGTGGATTTGATGTCTTGGTTTTGTTCTTGTTTCTCGGTGCTGCTGCTGCTGTCATTAGGAGAGTCTTTGGATCAAGAGAAGAAGATGACTACTAATATAGAGAAATCTTGTCCGCAGTGGATTCAAATGGAAATAGTTTTGTAAAAGAGACTGCTAAACATCTTTAGCTTCCCATAGCACTTGATACTGGAATAAGTATGTAATTATAATTGTGAATTGAGAAATGATGCAATAATTGTGCACAAGATGCATTATGTAAGCTGAGTTTCCATTGTATATTCAAAAGTAACATTTGGTTTTTTGCGTTGGAAAAAGTACAATTACTTACCAAGTGTGAATGGATGATTTCTTCAAATAACCCAGATTTGCAATTATATCGTCTTTGGATATAATAGGGATGGTTTCTTTCCCATTGACTGGGATCTTTTAAGTTCATCTTGCTTTCGAGGTAAAGGAATTTGAGGAACAAAGATTTGATAAATTTTGATGAATGGCGCATTAATTTTTTGAGGTTTAAAAACTCTCTTTGATATGAATATATTAGAGTCGGAATTTCACCTCTAATGAGTTTTCTCTCAACTTAGTGTATTTTAATGGTGATTTTCTCAGTAACCAAAGAGTGTTATTTGTACTTGAGCATTATCAACTAATCGTTATCAACTAACAGTTACCACTTGATTAGTTTCTATGACCATCAATATTTCTCCAATTCCCTGCAGTTAAAATACTCTAACTAGGATTTAACTACTTTGACTTAGTATTTCATTACTTGATGGGTCACTCTATTCAAGTTACTCATGTTGAATAGAAAATATCCAGCTTAAACATCCAAACATATCAATGCAATATATATGTATGTATACACTATTATAAAATAATATTTAATACAAAATAATTACATAAAAAATGCATTTGTGATATATGATATCAATAATATAATATTTAACCAACGCATTTGAGTTTTATTTAGTCTAAATTTAACTACCAACCGTGACTTATTTAACATCGAGAAATTTTAGCCACGTTATATTCTAATACAAGANTTGTGATATATGATATCAATAATATAATATTTAACCAACGCATTTGAGTTTTATTTATTCTAAATTTAACTACCAACCGTGACTTATTTAACATCGAGAAATTTTAGCCACGTTATATTCTAATACAAAGAAAACCCTTGGAGAAGATTCAGATTTTATCTTTCTTCCATCTTGATTTCTAATCGGTATGCAGAAAAATACAAAGCAAATGGAAGGAGAAGCAGGAAAAAAAATCACAGTGACAAGTGATGGTAAGTTCACATTCTCCACAGTATCCAGAAAAGGAAAGGAAAAGTAAGGACCCCAAAAAAAAAGAGATCACAAAGCTCCTTTGGAATTTTGGGAGGAAAAAGAAAGGAAAATGATTGCAAAAGAAGCCATTCAAAGCATTTTTCTCAACTTTCCTAGCAATTCCAAGACACAAACAGGGCCCAAACATTTGAGGTACGAAAAGTCATAATTGCCCATGTTGACTTTATTCCAAGGTCACCCAAAGTAGCATTGCCTATCTGAATAGTCAAAATTACATAATATGAAATTTTGTTTAGAATCAACAAGATTCTAGTTTTACAGCAAATATAGGTAAAGCAATATATTTTTGGGAAACTTTCAACATGATCAATGAAGAAACAGTACTACAAGGACACATGTTATTTTCCTTTCGGATATGGATTTGACATGATTGTGTATGTTTTATTGATCCTTTAATGGAATCAATGTTTCCAATGTTCTTGAATACGTACAGAATTAAAAGCAAAGTTCTAATCCTTGTGGCAAGTCAATTATTAGAGTTGAACAATTTAATAGCTTGAATACTACTCAGCTAGATAAAAGAAACTAATCAATTTTGTTTTGTATTTTATCTTGATAGCAAGTGTTGTTCATACATCCTATGTTTTTAGGTAAATGGTTCTTACATCATATATTTGTTACTCTATCAACTGGACAGCAGCAATGGAGGGAATTTTCTCTCTCAGCTTTTGTGTTAGAGCAACGCGCACTGTAATTACCCCAGCTGCAGGTCCACTGAGCCGAACTTTGACAACATAGTCATTGATTTGAACAAGCTCCAGTACTCCACCACCTGTGCCAGACAGGTATGGTCTAATCTCTGCAAGAACCTGGAATGATGCCAAACTAGTGCTTTTAGTAATAGCCTAATAAAATCTATACGAAAGCTATGAGAAAGCAGCAATCAACTAGAAATTACAAATTTATTCTCCAAGCCTCCACTCAAACAGGAATGAAAAATGGCATTAAGAAATTTTACTTAATTGAAGAAGAAAGTAACTGACAGATTCAGGATTCTGTCCTAAATATGAATGCTTCTATTTCCATTTCTCAGGTTTAATGTGAGGAATTCCCAATTGTTGATGTAATTGCAATAAAATTGAGAAGCAAAGTACAAAATAATAAACTTGATACAAAATAATTCAGGTATCTCACTCATTTTAAAAAGAATCAAACAAATGGAATCTGTACCTGAGAAGCCTATTGACAATGTCGAAGATCCTACAAATCTCTATTTGTTGGAAAGTATCTTTTTTGTTTAGTAGGATTTTAATATAGTTCTTTTGCAGAACCGCGTTACATTGCACACATTAAAATTGTCAAATCTTCCAAAATAAGAAGCAAATTTCAGATTTGGGAAGTTGTGAAAGTAAATAAAAAAGATTTTTTGTGATAATAGAGCTGTAAAACCTTCCTTGATCAATTTAAGTTTAGCAGATTACAGTGCCTATTTTGTTACTTTTGGAATGTTTGGAAGGTAAAACTCTTGCATGGGAAGAATAAAACTCCTATCAGGAGCATCAGCATTAGTAAATATATCTTATAGGTATATATACAGAGAAGCTATTTCTCAAGTTCTCATACCAACCCAATACCCTCCAAGTTCAAAAGGACTTGCAATCAAGCAGCCATTGAAGTTGCAATCTGAGATGCAAAAGGTAAGATATTAGAGGGCAGAGCTATAAATATTATGGCAATACCAGCTTCGTTTTTGAAGCAGAAATGATCCGAGATATTTGGTTGATGGTGAAAACATTAGACTTGATGAATCGAGTTGTTGAGAGTGATAACTTGGAGGTGATTTGATTAACTGCCAATGAAGGGAATACCCTTGGGAAATTAAAACATTAGTATAAAATATCAGACTATGTGCTTCCAGTTTTAACATCAGATTTCCTAAATTTTCAAGAAATGGTAATGCTGCAGCACATTGGGTACCAGCCTCCTCCAAATTAGAAACGCACTGTTTAGATTGGACAGCTTCTCTACCTAATACATTAGGGTACATATTTAGTCTTCTTGTATTTCTCCATTTTTTTTTTTTGGGGGTGGGGGGAGGGAAGGAACTGGAACCCTTGAATTCAAGAAGACAAAACTTTTATGAGACAAGGAGTACCATTGGACCAAAGGCCCATTGGTCTTGTATTTCTCTTAGCTTGTAGATTTTGTATCAAATTTCCTTTGGTGATAAAAAAAAGGAATGTTTGGAATGTAGTATTGCAATGCTCATCTCTTTCAAGCTAATGAAATGATTTTTGTTTTTCCTTGGGGGGGGGGGGGTCCTTTTTCTCCATTTGGACAAGCCAAAGATTCTCATGGAAACAACTAACTTCATTTTTAAAACCCTTGTAATGTAGTATTTGGTTCTATAACAGGAAAACAAAAATGTAGTTACATATGTAGAGTAAAATCAATGTATCCAACACATAATGTGTCATATTCCAGAAGATCAACTTCTAACCTTTTCGACATTCTCCTCATTTAACGCAAGGCCAGTCTCAGTATCAAGAATTTGTTCCACTTCTAGAATTTCCGGGATCTTATCTCTAAGCCGAGTTTCAATTCCCATCTTTAGTGTCATCGTTGAACTCGGACAAGACCCACATGCTCCTTGTAGCTTCAGTACCACAACAAGCCCATCAATCTCATGTAGTGCAACATTCCCTCCATCTGCCATTAGACCTGGACGCACCTCGTCTAACACCCTCTCAACATTCTCCTCAGTTAGTGGAAGGACATTGCTAGGTGAAACCACAATTCCTGCATACCGACAGTCACACTAAAGTCAGAATTTTGATAGCAAGTGTCAATTTTGTGCATTAAGCTCAAGTTGGGTTGCTGCAAATAAATTAAAAGAAAAATCTGAAATGCAGTTTGAAAACATGGAAACTCATCTCAGTTATAGCCTTATTACAAAATTCATTCTTGAATACCCCCCTTCTCCTCACATTTACTCAACCAAGCAAACGATTCCTCCATTGTCAAACTTTTAAACCAAAAAAAAAAAATCTTAGATTCTTTTTATCATTTCCACTTCATTTTTTTTCTCACCATAACATAGCATAAAAATTAGCACATGACTTAACATGTAAACCACCACTCCAACACCCTTGATTAGCAAAGTCAATCTGTATCATGAACCCTACTAAATAATTCTACAACATTAGGCTTACCAAATTTCGATACCAAATCTTTCATCACAAATGTGGCACATTCACCGTCATTAAATATGGATGGGCCGCATTTGTGATGGTGTTAAATATGTCGCATCATTTAGAATGACTGATTTTTTATGTAAATTTGATAACTGCAGCATTACTGTAATGGATGAAAATATAAGCTTCCATAAGATTACCCGCACGTTTTCTATGTCCAATAGTGGAATTCAATCCAAGGAGGTGTTTAGCATGGAACTGTCCTCTGAGAAATGAGTTCTGCTTTGATGAAAATCTACAACAATCTGATATGGGATTCTAGAGAGAGAGAGAGAGTTTACATTGATTCAGTTAATATAACTGACAGAAAAGATTAAATGTAATATGCCAAAATTCTAATTGTTTCACGGAGAGAGAGAGAGAGAGAGAGAGAGAGCACTTCTGATTCAGCTAATATAACCGACAGAAAAAGATTATATACTATATGTCATAATTCTAGTTGTTGCAAATAGAGCTACTAATATAACTGAAAGAAAAGATCAAATATAAAATGCCACAATTCTACTGGTTTCAGACACCCAC